TTGTCCACACACAGCCTCATGTGGAGTCCCTATGAATTCTTCAGGCTGACAGCAGCGGGGGGACATCAGGCCAGGGTTTTGGGGTGCTGTGGCATTGGTATCTCTTGGCTCACCTCTGCCAACCATGCTGTTTGATGGCATGACTTCCTTGCTTAGGCCCTAGGTGGAGAGGAGCCAGGTGGTGGCATTTCCCATTTCACCAGAGTGCACAACCGCTCCTGCTGCCTCCAAGTCATCCTCAACCCAGGAGCCAGATCCTGTCACTCTTCAGTGAGTTCCCACAGCTGGGGAGTGGGAAGACCTAGAAGGCCCAGCATGATTTGGCTCTTATACTATCTTTACAGTTCAATCTCCAGCTACTCTACTCTCACCCGAGTTGTGCTGGCCTTCTCTGCTCCTCCAATGAGCCAAACTCCTTCTCAATGAGATCCTACAGTCCCTTTTTCCAAAAAGCTCCTTTCCCCTTTTCCTGGCTAAGGCATACGCATCTTTCGGGTCTTCCTTGGAAAGTGTTTTTCCAACTTCTCAGGCCAGATTAGGTACACTGTTATTACACTCTGATTATGTGGTATTATTTTCACTGTACTAGCATCATTCTAATGATCTGTGTGTGATGATGTGATTGCTGTCTTACTCCCAGAGAACTATAAACTTGATGAGAGTAGGCAATGTACCTGTTTTGTTTGCTAGTCTATTCCCACTGCCAACTACAGTGCCTGACATAGTAGGTGTTCAATTTTCTGGGAAGGAATAAAAAGGAGGGAGGTAGGGAGGAAGGAAGAAAAGGAGGAAGGAAAAAAGGAAGGAAAGACGATAGAAAGCAGGCAGGGAGAGAGTCAGAAAAGAAGGAACAGAGGTCCCATTGGGGCTAATTGGGAAGACATTTGATTCTCCATCTCTAGGGAGAAAGCTGGAAGGGTTCACTGTAGCTCTCACCTGAGGCCTCAGTGTTTAAAGGCACAAGTTAACATTAGAATTTTGTTTGTGGGATAATGCTGAGTTCAAACCACAGAAGCATCTCCAAATGGATCATCAGAGCTAAGGGGGTCTGCGGTGATCTGAGTTTTAGGTATAGAGCAAAATGGGAAAGGGAAAAGCAGGGAAGATAAAGGCAAATAAGAAATAATCTTTACAAAGTCAAGGAAATGGAGGACAGGGCCACCAGCTGGACTTACTTCTTGTACCTAGCAGCTATTTATGAATGGGCAAAGCAGGTCTGATAAAAGGGACACAGACCACGCACAGTTGTCATATACAGACATATGTTGCTCCAACATCTTAATAAGTTCATATCCTTGTGTATCAACCATTTTCCTGTGAGTATGGTTAACTCTAGGTTCACTAAAATGAGACTGAATTAAGTTATAGTTTGTGAATTTCAAAGCTTAGGACTTAGCCATGGTGCCTGCCTGCATAGTGCCCTGCCAGAGGGAAACTCTGCCTAAGCAGTCCACTGCTCCCTCCCTTCCCTACATCTCTATGGCATCCTCTGGAAATTCAACATTTTGAACCAAAGTTATAATGCTCTTCGCTTACACGCTGTCTCATGGTATCTCCCTTCTTGATAACAGGCTCCTGGGAGAAAGGGAAAGTGTCTAGCTCATTCTCTCATCTATTGAGCCCAGTGCAATGACTTTGAATAGTAATGGTTCAAAAAAATTATTGAGGGGCACCTGGGTGGCTCAGTCAGTTAAGCGTCTGCCTTTGGCTCTAGTCATAATCCCAGGACTCCACTTGGGGCTCCCTGCTCAGGGGGAGTCTGCTCCTCCCTCTCCCTCTGTCCTCCCTCTTGCTTGTGCTCTCTCTCTCAAATAAATAAAAATCTTTAAAAAAAGAAAAAATTGAGTAAGTACTGCTATATATTTCACAGGTGCTGAGACTGATTACTCCAATGAACTTGTTAACATCTTGAGGAAGACCACTTTAAACTTGAAGTTCTTCCTCAAACATAAGTTGGACTCAATAAATCATTTTCTGTAAACTATTAGAAGAATGACAAGGTTATGTCTTTATACATAATTTTTACAACGTCTCTATTATTTCCAGTATATTATTGGGCACATGGTGGGAACTCAATAAATGTTTGCAGTGAACTGACTCCAATATAGATGTATTTCAGTTGAGAGGAAACAGAGATGTTTCTGACATTTCATATAAATTGTTTATGAGTTAAATGCTACTTAAATATATATAAATTTGTTATTAAATGGATCCCTAACATGAATATTTTTTACAATATTTAGAATCACTTTGTAATATAAAGCTCCTTTATGTAACCCATTTTTTGAGTTTCATATTTTTACATATCCAGGTTGTTGATAATAGGATAAACTAGGGTGCCTGGGTGGCTCAGTTGGTTAAGCGACTGCCTTCGGCTCAGGTCATGATCCTGGAGTCCCGGGATCGAGTCCCGCATCGGGCTCCCTGCTCAGTGGGGAGTCTGCTTCTCCCTCTGACCCTACCCCCTCTTGTGCTCTTTCTCTCTCTCAAATAAATAAAATTAAAAAAAAAACTCAGCATTTAAAAAAATAGGATAAACTAGATTAGTGCCTTATAGGCATGAGGAAGCCAACTGAATCACTATTGATTAAATCAAGCTGTTCTTCATAGACAGTACTGTCCCTCTTTGTAGTTTCCCAGATGATCTACTTACTCTCAATGTCTCCCCCACCACAAACACACATTTTCTCCCTGTGTCTTAATTCAAATTTCGTAGTTGTACCCTAATTTATAATGTATGCATAAACTTCATTTCCCAATACTCCTTTCCACCTCTCCCCACCCCCTTGTTTAACCACATGCCTCACCATTTTTCAAAATAGGTATGCCTTCCATGGTGCCTGGATCATCCATAGCAGGTAGAGACTTCAGGTTGTCTATCTCAGGTGGTGGCTTTTGTATGAGCATGCTGGAAGTTGAAGCTTCCCCAGCTGAGAAGCAATATCTCTAGGTTACCCTCAAGGTGGGATTCAGGGAAAGGAGTGCTACTTATTCTCTTTCATTTCCTCTGTAACTCTTAGCTGTCCAGGGCCTTTTCCCCCATAATCCAGTGAAAAATTAGAGAAGTCATGACTTTTCTCAACAACTATCTTACCCTAAAAAAAAGGTTCTATTCCAAGCAGAACATGTAACTAGCTACTTTGAGACTGTGGTAGAATAGAAAGTCATTTCTCTCTGGGACTCTATCTTACAGGTTTTAGTGTCAATTACAGTCATAACAAGGACTCGGACAGATGAGCCCAGAAAGGGATTCACAAAGCACAGAGAAATCAACTACCAGGTCATGTGCTATAAATCTTGTCCTTCCTCAACTCCCTGGTCCGTCCTTCATATCTGCCTGGGCCTATTCCCACACATGAGACCAAAATCTCACCTGATACTTGTACCAGGAAGAGACATGACTCAGAGACAAATATTTTACTATATTGGGGATGGAATAAAGTCAGTTGGCCCCTAACACCTACATTTAGACTAGTACGTTTCACATCCCATACTGAAACTCCCTGCAAGAGAACCCATCTGTCACTGGAGTCGGATCAGGAGACAATGGTACCTGTGCGCTGGGGAGGCCTGACTACCCCGTGAGATTGAATCACGCACATGAAAAATTTCAGATGAAATTCCTCTTTACGCATGGCTGTCTCCTAGAAATAGAGATGGAGTTTAATCCATTTGAACAGATCTGTGGAATGATTAGGTTGGACAAAACAGACATGGATCAGGTACGCCCAATACTAAAGGCCTTAGGACATGGCAATATAAAATATCAGTATATGAAGGGATACAAATGATCTACTTTTATGTATTTGACAGGACAAGATCTCCTGAATTCAGCCAGTATTCTCCTTTTTACCTCAGAGTAGGTAAAAGGCTGGGGCCTCCAGAGGCTCCCCTTCTTTAAGTCTGAGCTCAGACTTCTGAGGTCTGGAGGGCCTACTCAGAAGCATTTCCTCCAAGACTTCTAGAGAGGGCCTGGGTCCAGAGGCCAAGTGGAAAGACTTGGCAAAAAGTCTGAATGAACAAACGTATTTCTTCTCATTATTTTCTTTTTAAAAGTAGGGCACAGATTACACGTTAATCCATTCAGTCACAGGAACACCATCAGGGCCATTTAGTTCTTCAGAGGGCCGACACCTGGGTCCTTTTCTATCTTTACTCAGAAAAGTACATCTCTGGTGGACCCCCAATAGCTTTCCTCACACCTCTGCCCATGTTTCAAACTCCTCCAGAGTCTGGAAGGTTCTACATGTTTCCGGAGTCTAACCTAAGCTCATCCTAAGATGCTTTTTTTTTTCTTTTTCCAAATGGCCAATCAAGCATGATGTGATGCAAAGAACACAGGACTGCAAGTTAAGAAACTTGTTTCCTAGTCCCAGATCTGCCATGCACTTTATAACTTTGGGAAATGACTTCACTTCCCTGAAACTGTTAGGACTAAAACCTTTCCCACAACCACTACAACCACCAACGTTCCGTGATTCTCAATAATACACGAAACGGAGCTCGACTCAGCTCTCAGGTCTGCATCTGTCAAGGTGGCCACAAGTTCCCGCCAGCCGAGGGAGGGCCACAGCGAAAAGCTGCCATGGAAACCAGAGCGAAAGCAAAAATCGCCGAGCGGAACCAGAAGACGGCGTGCAAGGGGATCGAGGGAACAGAAAAAAGCGAAGGACGACCGGTACACTAACAGTAATCCGAGAACGAGAACGGGAACGAGAGAAACCCCAAACTGAAAGGGGAACAGGGAAACGATGACTTCACCCTTAGATGGTCCCTGGGCTTCTCAGGCCTGGCCACACTGCGCAGGCGTTCCCCGGGTCCTCAACTCTGCTCTTTGACCTCCCGCTCCACCCCCCCGCTCCGCAGCCACCGGGCGGCTCTTCCGGTGTTGTGGAGGCTGTTCCGGTTCGCGGCGGTTCCCGGGTTTTGCGTTCCGCGCCCGGCCGGAAACCCCTTCGCATAGCAGCCGGTTCCGGTTCGGTGAGTGGCGGCGGGAAGCTGGGGGAGGGGTGAGGATGGAGGGAGCCTGGGCCGGGAGGCAGTGCCGGTCCGGGCCCAGCAGCCTGGGCTGGGCTGGGCGGAAGCGGGGAGGGCTGTGGGGACGGCGCTTTTCCCTCTGCCCCGCCCCCTGGGACCACCTCCCCTCCCCCCTGCCATCCACCGGCCGCGATCTGGCCGGCGGCCGTTAGTTAGGCTTCCCGAGGCCGGTCCTTCAGGCCCCTTTCTCTTGGGCCGGGGAGAGGCCGTCTCCCTGCCGTTACCACGGGCCCCGTCTCAGCGGCCAGCCCTACTTGTGGGGAAAAGGCTTGGGATTTCGGGGCTTTCCCGCCCGGGCAGGGTCTTCTCTCAAGGGAAAGCCGGGAAGCTCAGCTTTCTGTTACACCTGCTTCACCTCCCGACTTCCTTGAGACCTGAATGGTATTTCTCGACTACTTCTGCGTCTCACGTAAACATTTCTCCAACTCTTTTACTCTGTGGTATCTCCCTGAGCTGTGAAAACGCTAGTGCCACCACCAGAGAGAAACGGCTGGACCCTTCTGCCCAGGTTATGAAAATGCCCTTAAACTGCCACGGTTTGCTTACCTGGCTCATCGCCTCCTGGTCATTCCCTTGAACCGTCTCTTTCTTGGTTGTTCCCTAACGTGGTCTCTCTGGATAAATATGCCCGGCTTCTCTTGAGCTTGGTGATTTCTGTTTATCGGTGCCTCTGCAGTGTGTTCACTATCTTGTTGGCAATAACTTACTCCTTTATCACTTTCAAGTCAGCCTTATTAAGGTCATTTCACTTCACATTTGGTACACTTATTTGGGGTGGTGGTGATGCTTGTGAAGTTTATATAAAGCCTTATATAGGCTACCACCGATGTTACTTAGGGTCTTTGTTCTAATCGGATATTCTGAATGGAGTAGATCACATCATCTCCTGAATCTTTATCCTTTGTAGAGATAATTTGTGTTAAGCACTCGTGTTGAAAGCTAGATTACACTGAATTTGAAATTAGAGTTGCAGTGAAGCCTTAAGCATCTCGTAAGCATGAGCCCTCAACCTTCTTCCAATTAGAGATCCCCTGTTTTCCCTTTAGTCCCAATTTTGGAAGCCTCATTTCGTTTTTATTTTGAGAAGTCTCATTCATTTTTGCCTGATTCCAATTAATTATCCCGACTGCAAACCTGGTCTTCATCATGTCACGCATCTGATGAGTTAAATCTGGAGCGAGCAAATGGATTAAAAAACAGGTTCTGCCACTTCAGGCTAAGGTGATGTAACTCTTGACTACTGCTTTGAAAGTCTTTCCTTTCCTTTACCTGACTCCCACGCCTCCTGCCAATGCACCAGCTTTATTTCTTGCTATAAGTATCTGTTGATGGATCTGGTTTCCCCCAGTAGACAGCGTTTCAGCAGCAGGGACCAGTTGTTACTCATCTTTGTATCCTTAGTACCTCGTATGTAATTGGTGCACGGTAAATGTTTGTGTACTAAAGAAGTTGAATGCTTAGTGTTTTACGGTGTTAGAGTGTTAAGGTGTTAAGAGTCTAATTGGGAGAGATTACATGTAAAAGTATGAGAAACAAAAACAAATACGTGATGATATACTGCAAACTGTATCATATATATGATATATATTTTTATATGAGTTCAGAGTAGGAGGATTCACATGATCACTTCCACACCCTTCTCATATCGAAAATTATTCTAACCACATTTGGTCCTGGATAAAGCTAATTGCTTCTCCTAGGTATATACTTTCTAGTAACTTCATGGTAACTGTAAACATTCTCTTTTATAACCACCTCTTTGCATGTAAGCTTATACATGTTTTGTTCTACTTGTTACATTCTGTTACTGTCAAGACTTTGCCATCTTTTTTTTTTTCTTTCAGATCTCCTGTTACTTTTGTGTTCAGCTAATAACTTGACTTCACCTGAATACCTGTAACAGCTTATATTCTTTTAGTAAATTGATGACCAGTGTGAACTAGGAAATGTTATTGGAATACTTTTCTTTCTTTTTTTTAATAAAGATTTTTATTTATTTGAGAGAGAGAATGAGAGAGAGAGCGTGAGAGGGGGGAGGGTAAGAGGGAGAAGCAGACCCCCTGCTGAGCAGGGAGCCCTGATATGGGATTCAGTCCCCGGACTCCAGGATCATGACCTGAGCTGAAGGCAGTTGCTTACCAACTGAGCCACCCAGGCGCCCCTAGAATACTTTTCTTAAAAGGAAAAAATTCTTAGGCTTGCAAGAATTTGGTGGCATCATAGTTTCCAGATCCAGCATTTCATGTTGAATCTTGGAGTAACATATCTCTACTTCTAATGTAAATGCGCATAAATGGCAAAAAGAAAGTAACATAAGCACCTGAAGAAGCTGAATGTATTTGTATTAAAATGTCAATGTGGGGCTTTAATTATTAAAATTATGAAACTGTGGATCCCCCAGGACCATCCCCAAGAGATGAATTTTATCTTGCCAAAGTGTATGAATCTTTGAATGAAGATATGTTAAAGGATACCATGTTTTGTGGTGGTTGTTGAAAGCACATTTGCTTGGGAGTTAGGATACCCTGGATTTGTATCTTCCCTTTGCCCCATCTATGTGATTTCAGGCAAGTCACTTAACTTTTCTGGACATAGTCTCTAAAATTCTTTGATTTCTTGATTCCCTCTTTACATCTATCTTAGCAATGCAAAGGAAGCAACATGGGATTGTTCTACTGGGCACCAAGCTTTTAAATTGGCATTCTCCTTAAATCAACAAAAAAGGCTAGTGATGACATTTAATGAAATAGCCTAAAAAAGTGAAATGTGAAAAAGCCACTGCTAGTTTATTGGTTGATAGGATTTTTTTCCCTTAACGTGGAACCCAGGGAATTTCTTTATTTAAAAAGGAAGAAGGGGAAAGAATAACCTGGAGAATTTCCAAATAGCAGCTTTTTGTTAAGTTGAGCATTTGGAAACATACTCAAAGCCTAAATATAAGGCTTAAGTTATTTGGGAATCCTCCCCAGCAAGACTGGGTGATCAGATGATTACTCTGCTTAGTCTGTAGGTATGCCAGGAAAAGCTCAAGCAGGCTTCCTTCGTGTGTGCACTTCATTGCGACCATAAGGAGTACCTAATAGCATCATCCAGTCTCCTTAGTAGATTGAAGCCCTGATATTGCTAAAGTGGATTGATAAAGTTGATTATAAACTAAAGTTGATGAAGTGCTCAATCTTTTTAAAAAGATGGTCATAATATTATGAATATAGTAAGTGTGACTGTTACCATCCCTAGTCTCCTCTTGGATCTGCCAAGAATCATGAGTGCCAAGGATATGTTTATTAACCTAGTTCCAAGCAGTTAGGCTTTTAAATTCCTTTTTCTGGGAAAATTAGATACATCAGAGGAGAAAATAATTTCGTGTAGGCAAAGGGGCTTTGGTTTGTAACGGGAGAGAAAGTACTTTAGTACAACTGGGAAGTATTTCTTGATTGTTCTTAGAATATCAGTAGCTATATTTGGCCACTGACTAAAACATATGGAAGAGAAGTCTAATGGTACCACCATAAGATCTATCACTTGTTTATAAAATGGTTTACCATGAGGTAATAGAGCAATGGATTTCTTGGTTGTAATTTCAGTGCAGTCACTGACTAACTTTATGACCATATGCAAATTAATCTCCAAAGGGTTGGCACTGCCAACTTCTTGCTGTAATAGTCTGTGATTCTGTGGGTAGTCCACAATTGCTGTTTAATATAGCTCAGGGTTCAGAAATGTTTGGAATTGCCTCAACTAGTTTTAGTTTCTATTCTCTTCCCATCAAGTCATCTCTCCTTACCACCTTATATTTTTCTCTACTAAGATCACAAATGTCACTTTGAATGGCTTCCTGTTCTATAATTATATGAAGGAGCTGTTTCAGTATGTAACATTTCTGTTTTCTGTCTTCTTTTATAGGACTTTGTATCTTTGCTAAAGTCAGTGATGTGAAAGGACCTGACATGGGTAAGTCTGACTATGAAATAGTAATTCAGTCCTTTTAGTTACTCTGATTAGTTCAGTTGAATCGAAAGAATGGTTTTTGTTTTTGTTTTTTAACATTTTCAGTATTTGCATCTTTGTGCTTAATAATAATCTTAAAGGAGATCTCAACCTAATTATGTAATAATGACAATTTTCTTTTGGTTGAGACATTGTTTATAGCATCATTTGGAAGCATTTTTCATTCATTGTATTGAAAAAGCCAGATACACACTAGCAGACATTTATTATGTGCCAGGCCTTATTCTGAGTACTTAAAATATATTAATTCATTTCATTTTTTACAACTGCCTTACACGGGTGCCTAATATCAACAAGGAAACTGAGGCACAGAGGTTAAGAAACAACTTTAACTGGTAGAGCCAGAATTTAAACTCAGGCAGCCTGGTTCCAGAGTCCTTATTCTTTCGTACTGTGTTATACTAACTTCTGTATGATAAATAATTTGATTAAGGTAGATTTTAAATTTCGTTTAGCTAGTAGCATTGAGAATTAATTGTGATTACAACATTTTCTACTATTTATAGTTCTTTATGTCTATAAAGGGGATCAATACAAGGTCAGGACGAGTAGCCAGTTAGGAATAGGTTGAACAATTTATTTATACAGTTAGATCTTATAACATTCCATGTGCTCCTTTTTAAGTCACGTTAGTCTTCTCTCTTCTGTTTTTTTCTTTTGCTTAGTCTACCTTCTCTCTCCCCTGGTCATCTGTTTCACTTTTTCTCTAATTGTTGATGTCACTGTAAGTCACTGAATTCCGTCACTCTGATCTGTTACTATTCTAGCTCTTTTATACTAACAAAGGTCTCAAAGGTGGTGATACGTCCTCTATCAAAGGTGGTTATAAAGTAAGGTTCTGCCATAGCATCACAGTAATTGAGCTGATACCTGTTAAGAGCCAGATGAATAAACGATACTTTTTGCAGAAAAAAGTTCAGGTACATTATTTTTTAAAGCACCTTTTTGAGTTAGACAAAGGAAATAAACAGTTGTTAACAGTGTTTGTTTCTGAATGGTGAAATTTCTTTCCCTTTTTTTAATAGTTAAATTTTTTTCTATAGTTGAAACATTCAAAGTTTTTCTTAGGGAAAATTTCATTTTTTTAAAAAAAACTTTGAGTTAAGTTTTTTTTAATAATTGCACAAGTTTTCAACTATTTGGTAGATAGATAATCTCAGTCAGTTCCAAATGAGCCAATTTCTGCATGTGGGCCTCTTTTTGACAATGACATTTTGAGATTTCTGGCCAATGGTTAGTTCTGAATGAGAGGTTTTATTTGACTATAGAGATGTTCTTTGGGAATCATTTTTATTAGGTGAAATGATTTGTTCATAGGAAAGTAGTTATTGAAGAATTATGTGACCTGAATTAATTCGGATTCTTTCCTCAGATGATATTGCTGATAGGATGAGGATGGATGCTGGAGAAGTAACTTTAGTGAACCACAACTCCATATTCAAAACCCATCTCCTGGCACAAACAGGCTTTCCAGAGGACCAGCTTTCATTTTCTGACCATCAGGTTAGGAATAATTTTCTTCCCTTAGTTAATGAATTCGTTTGGCTTAAGTTTTCATCTGATGTAATTTAAATGCCACACTCAAAAGGATAAACATATATAAACTTTTTAGAATCTGTATTTCTGATGTTTTGAATTCTTTTTGATATATTAAGACAAGAACTATGCTGTGTATGAGTTTTTTGAGAACAGTATCTTTTAGAAAACTTTTTATTATTTCTGTGCATATTACAATTACCAAAGCACAGGTCAGTGTTCTTTTAAACTAGTGTCTTAAAATTGCTGAGCATTAAATGTGGGGAAATATGTAAATATACAGAAGCTTTGAGATTCCCCTGTGCTATAAAATGTAATTTCTCAAAGGACTAGTATCAACAGCATCCCCTGGGAGTTTGTTAGAAGTGCAGAATCCCAGGCTTCACCCCAGACCTACTGAATCAGAATCTACAGTTTTAAAAATTTCCAGCTGATAAATAGAAATACCACATGATCCAATAATTTTTCTCCTGGGTACTTACCCAAAGAAAATGAAAACACTAAATCAAAAAGACATATGCACCCTTATGTTTATTGCAGCATTATTTACAATAGCCAAAACATGGAAGCAACCTAAACGTCCACTGATAGAAGAATGGGTAAGGAAGATGTGGTATACATATACACATATCATGCAGCCATAAAAAAGGTTGAGATCTTGCCATTTGTGACAGTATGCATAGACCTAGAGAGTATTATGCTAAGTGAAATAAGACTGAAAGACAAATATCATACGATTTCACTAATATGTAGAATCTAAAAAACAAAACAAAATGACAGAATTTGATCTGTAAATACAGAGAACAAACTGATGGTTATGGGGAGGGGAGGTGGAGCAAAGTGGGTGAAGGTGAGTGGGAGGCACAGGCTTCCAGTTATGGAGTGAATAAGTCACAGAAATAAAAGGCATAGCATAGGGAATATAGTGTGACAGATGGTAGCTACATTTGTGGTGAGGATAGCATAACATATAGAAAAGTTGGATCACTATGTTGTACACCTGAAGCCAGTGTAACATTGTATGTCAGCTATGCTGAAATTAAAACATTTTTTAAAAAAAGAAAAAAAAAGCTCCAGTTGGGTTATTTGCACATTAGGGTTTGAGGAACATTGTTAATAAAGCAGTCTTTCTCAATAGGAAAGCCATTACTAATATGGATGAGACAGTTCTTTACTATGTGAATCTCTTCCAAGCAAAGCAGAATGTTTAGCATTCTTGGCCCTTGGGCACTAAATATGTGTAACATCTGCCCCCAGTAATCATTTTTGGAAACTGAATATATAGTCACACATTTCCAGATTAGTACTGGGGTGCAGCCCCACTCCTGATTAAGAACTTCTGTATGAAGTTATCAAAAGATTCAAAACCAGGTTCATTTGTCACCCTCTTTGATAAGTGATACAACTGGCTTTCAGAACAGGATATACTGTGTGCATATTTACCTTTTAATGAGTATCCTTTGAATTAAGTTGTATAACAGATACTTTGCCTATTTTTCCCCCTTGAAGCCTCAGTCATCAGATTGCCTATGCGTTTTCCTTTCTTATTAGTATGTAGTTTCTTTATAATATATAAAAATATAGTTACACTGAATTCTGAAATATGTCATAACCTTGTTTAATGATACATTTTTCCAAACATAAATTTTTATTCCATTTTATTGTCAAAAATATGATTTAAGAAAAATCTTTTGCTTTGTTTAGATTTTACCTTCCAGGGAAGGAAATTTGGACCGATCTTATACATGTTCTACAAGAAGTGCAGCTTATAATCCAAATTATTATTCAGGTATGACATATTACTTGGAGTCACAGCATTTGTACCATTCAGATTTCTTCCTAGCAAATTGTGTGTGTTTACCATCTCTAGAGCGAAAACATTGTCAAAAGCAAAATGGTATTTTCTCCACTAAAACATCACTGTGTGTGGGGGGGAGGGGAGGTTGCTATAATACTTTACTGACCTAGTCTCAACCACTTATATTTAATGGAAAAGTTTTTTGGGGATCTATTTTTTTACTTGTTCATTATGTCATTGTGAAAAGCAGTACAGCTTTGGTTTTGACTTTTTTTTTTTTTAAGATCTGTGTGTATGATGTAAAGGATATTTGTTTTGGATTGATATAAAGCACGGAGTTAGCCTATTTCTATTCTGCTTGAAACCATGAATCCTGAAAAATTATTTCTACCCAAGCTTGTCCCTCCATCAGGGCAGGAAATGTTAACTACATGTTTCTATCTAGCACCTGCCACAGCCATGCTTGCATATTCAAGGGCTTGCCTGTTCAGCTTGTGATCCATGGCAGAAGTCAGCATTCTCTAGGTTCTTCCTAGTCCCTGGCCTGCCCGACTTTCCATCTGCCCCCTTCCTAAGGTTAGGACTTCCAGTGATCTTCTGGCTCTGTCTTGGGGAAGCTAAGAGATTTTTGTTGATTAGCTTCCTGGCAGTACGACCCAGGAAGATTATAGTGCCTTCCCATGTCTTATCACTCCTAATGCATCAGTCTCCTTACCTTCCCACAAATATGGGAATATTAGTAATACTGTTGAACCTGCCCTAGTAGGATTTTTATAAGGATAAATTGAGGTAATAAATATGAAATGCAAATAATAATTATTGTTGTTATTTGGCTTCCTCAGGATTCTTTGTCAGCAAGATGAGATCTCGTCCCCTAAAAAGACGTTAGTATGATGATCTTTTAGATTTATATTATATTTAAATGTCATTTAGGTGGGTGGTACTTTACCCTGGGCTCTGAATTTCCTCTTGTGGTATGGGAAATGGTCTCCACAAAGTATGTGCATAGTTTGTGTTGGAAAATCAGTTAACTGGCTCAGAAAGTAACTCTGCCATCATTATTATTGGAAAGGCCTTTCCGATGAGCAGAGAGCCTGACATCTAGTTGGATAGTTCATTATTAATCCTAGGGAAAGGACAGTTGAGTGGATAATGAAATGAGATCATTAGTATTTCCATTTGAATTCAGGCTGTGCTTGCTTATAATTTCATATTGTTGATTTACCATTGGATAGAATATTTACTTTTAGTTTAAAATAATTGCTTAATAATAAACAATTATATATAGAAAATTATACTCAAAATCTGCTGACCATAACAACTCAACTCTGTGGCCTTATCCATGTGGACATACATGATGTACATTGTATGATTCAATACAGATCTTTTTTAGCCCAATATTTTAATTTTTACTTTTCCATCTGTTTACATGTTATTCTTGGTGTCTACCTTTTTCTGTTGATTTCTAATAATCCATGGAACTGATATGCACATTCACAATGCTTTATGTGCAATTCCAAAATCCAGAAAGCTCTGAAAACCAGAAATTCTTTTCATAATTCATTTGGCATCCAGACTGACCCGACCTGAATTCGTTCCTTGGCAAAACCCACATGAACTGACATGAAGCTATTTATATTTTTCTTCTATTTATTTCTGTAAATATGAGTATTTATATATTTCACTGCAGATATATCAATATGTTTGATTACAGGGTGTAGCTTCAAATTATACCTTGAAGTGTTACATAGTATATCCCAGGTTATCTTTCTAAAATTCCAAAAATTTTAAATTCAGAAGTGCAGTGGGACCTAGGGGACTATGATTTAGGATAATGGTCCCATTCCTTCATTTGCTTCATTATTTTCTCTATAGTTTAGGTCTCCTTCACACTTACTATTTTTAGCTATTGTAAATAATATGACTTAAAAACATTTGTATATATAGCCTTTTTTCTTTTAAATTTCATTACACCTTTGATATTCATAAAGGATATATCCGAGATCATCTCAGATCTTCATGTTCTTGACTATGGTGGTATTTGACCAGATTCTTGGCTTTCTACTCAATTGCATGACTCTTGAGAGGTACATTTTTCCTATGTTTGTCATCATACCATAAGTTGATCCCTATATCAGAATGTTACACTGAAGTCTTGTCTCTCATTTGAAGGCTATTTTTTAGGGAAAAAAAATTACTTCATGACAGTTACTGTATACATGATGATGAATAGTGAATAGCAACAGTGAATAACAAAGCCATATTGAAATGGGGACGCTGAGCTATTAGATTCATTCTCTAAATTACAGCCTGAAGCAGAGGATTCAGATTTGTGCCTCTACCAAATTTCATCTCATCCCTGACCAAACAAATGTATGGCATGTCACAGTCCTCCAGGGTTGCTCTCTGACAATCAAAATTTTAAATCTGTGAAGGCCAAGGGTTTCAATACTTTTTTCTTAAAGTCTTCAATTTAAATCCACTTTTTACTGTGTATTTTTCTTAACTTTGTTCCTTTGCCACACCCATTCCAATTGATTGTAAGTCCTGCGGAATTTTGTCTCTGCTCTCTCCTTTGTATGTCTTCTTTTCCGATAATCCCCACATTGATTTCTGTAGTCAGTCACCTTGAGCTTCATTGCTTGATTGGGCGAGATGGGGGTCTCCAGTTTACCTGCCTTAGTCTTCTCATTTTGTCTTGGTGTTTGTCTCCTCTCTTGCTATTCTCTTTTCCATCAAGGTGAAAACAAACATGGGAAAGCCCCAAACTTTAGAATCTAGGGTCTGGAGCTTACCATTTACTGCTTTACTGCATCTGCCTCTCTGTATCAAGTTTTTTAAAAATCTGCTTCTTAATCCACTTAATATTAGACTATTAAAAAAAAACTTTTTTAGAAAGCAGAGAAAATGCAACTCTTTTACTTTAGTAACTTATTGCTGGTCAGACTTCAAGACCTCTTGCTTTTATTAACACAATTGAAAATTAAAACATTTTAAACACTAAACAAAAGTAGATTAAGATGAAAAGAAATGATTTTGCTCTTGCTTAGAATCATTATCAACATCTTATCTTTGGAAAATATGTTAAATTAGGTTGCCATACTGGCATTTAGTAGATGATTTAAAGCATCCTGCTATTTATAATAACGAAATCTGAAAGTTAACAGGAGCAACTGATGATGGGGTTACTTTCATTGTAAGTGATTGCCTGACATACTTTTTTTAAAATATAAAGTTTATTTCATTATGTCCATAAAAGTATTGCTTGTCCTTGTAGAAAATTTGTAGAGAAAGGTAGAAAAATACCCATCATTCTATTATTGGAACACAACCAAAATTAAACTTTTGGTGTATTTCCTTATAGTTTTGTGTGTGCGTATGTAGCCATAGTAAGTTACCTTATTTGTGGCGTTTGCAATCTGATTTCTTAACAATGACAGAATACCAGGTTAAACCATCACTAAAAAGAGTGTCTGCAGCCCCATGTGGGTCCCTCTCTAGCTCTGCTTGATTACATCAGCAATGGAAGACTACTGATTGCTTTCATTGAGTGGGGATGGAACCACCTTGTTCTGGTTAAACAGACTGCCTGATCCTGTGCTCTTCCCTTGCATTTAAAAGCTGAAGCCTTTGTGAAATGCCATTGAGGAGGCTACTTTGGCTTATTCTTGGTCTCAAATTTCACACTTATCAGGGTAATTTTGCATTTTTGGTAGACATTCCTCAAGTAGACATCTCTAGTTAGATCATTCCCTAATCATATTTTAGCAAAGAAGCGTAAGAGACAGATTTCTACTGTTATTACTTTGCATTTAAAGATTAAAATGTTCTGGTCCTTTAATGCTACTCATTTTTTTTATTAGCCTTATGTTTCTCTCCTTAAAGTAGTAATAGTAATAGATGCTAAGCATAGATACTGATTGCAAAGGTACAAGGTTATAGTTAATTTTGAGAGTAAATTTAATTATTAGAGTAGGTTCATTCAGTGGTGAATCAACTGGTACTAATACCACCCCTGAATGCTGCTTTTTTCCTTGTCTTATTTATCCTAAATCCTGATAATCTTGATAAAAAAAACTCACAAAAAAAACAAACAAACCCCACAGTACAAAACTTATTTTTGTCAGCTACCCTATTTTTTGGATACAGTATCAAAAGCCACATTAAATATTTTAAAATAATATTGTGCAGAGTTCTATAGTGATATGCTTTGAAAGAGGATCTTCAAAATGATGTTAGCATTAGGCAAAAATTCAGGAAATAGAGAATTATCATTCTCATTTTTGCACTGGTGCTCCTCAGAGTTCCATAACCTGACATCTGAAGTTATTTTGAAGGTGCTGTTTTAGATTGTTTGATCCTGCTGATAGGGAGAGGTGGATTTAGAAATTATTCTATTCCTGGGGTACCTGGGTGACTCAGTTGTTTGAGCATCCAATACTTGATCTCAGCTCAGGTCTTGACCTCAGGCTCGTGAGTTCGAGCCCTGCGTTGGTGGGCTCTTTGCTGGGTGTGGAGCCTACTTAAAAAAAAAAAAAAAAAAAAGGAAAAAATTATTCTATTCCTAGCTGAAATTTCAAGAGACTTTTCTTACCCCAGTTTGTAAGCCACAAGTCAGGAGATTCAAATAATAAATAATCCTTAGTCTGATTGCAATAACAAGCATTGGAGGGAGTATTGATATGTCTGATGATTATGACATTAAGTGACCGAAGGTTATCATACCAGAACCAGATGCATATGATGGGTCATTCCTGCCATAAGCCAGCCAGAATAAGCAGCAATGAGGTTATCTCTGCTCTTAGAGAGAGCCCCTGAGTCGTGAACATGGTAATTAAAAATAAGAAAGTGACACCAGCTGCTTATTAAGCGATAACTGTTGTTCATTTGAATTACAATTCTCCTTGGCCCTCCACCTGCTTTCTTACTGGTCTGGCCTACCTTCTTTCAGGCCCAGGCCTGGGAGTGCTTGCAAGATATAGTTGGGGTAAAATGTTGACTTTTGGTGGACACCACGGAGTCACATTGATGCAGATAAGGCACATGGCTGTGGCAGGATTCAGCTCCTTCATCAATTTTCAGGTTAGTATGGCTGAATCAATTATAGTTTGTAGAAGTTCCCTTACTGCAGACTTTACTGGCAGTTGAGACTGGGATCTTTCTTCCATGAGAGACATGGTGCTTTACCACATTACTTTGGAATACAATGTTGGACATGGTTGCAGTCATATGGAAAACTACTGTAGGTATTTGTCTAATTATTCAAACTTTTATTCTTTTAGACAACCCTTCCTCAGACAGTTTTCTTGGCTCAGGAGATTTAAGAACCTTTGGCCAGAGTGCAAATGGCCAGTGGAGAAATTCCACTCCAGCATCAGGTTCAACTTTACAAAAATCAAGAAACAGCCGAAGTCTTTACCTCGAAACCCGAAAGACCTCAAGGTAGGTATTCTGGCCTCCTAGTTCACAAGCCTTTCCTCTGATATGAGAGAAAATGGCCATGAGATAGTTGTTGACACTGGCATTTTATTTTATTTATTTATTTTTGGGGTGCAAAAAGGTGGTTTTATTAAAGCATGGGGACAGAACCCTTGGGCAGAAAGAGCTGTTGCCCCGGAATTGTGGAGAGCAGCTTGACCTTGGCATTTTAAAGGAGTAACATTGTTTCTGAATTTTAAACTGTGAAAATATGGACAAATCCATTTTAAACTTTCAACTTTTAATTTACTTGGTGCTGAATTTTGGTGACAGCCGAAGTTTCTCATCAGAGGAGAGTTTTGAGGGAAATCTTGGTGCATCTGAGTATTTTGGGATTAATATGGCTGTTATGAACCTTAAATTTCTACAACTTCAGTAGCAAAGAAATCAGTACATTTTATAGGCTTTCACATGAGCAGAGACCTGGCTTAAACCAACGAAGTTCTGCACTTCATGGCCTTAGTCAATAGACCTAAACTACCTCTCTTAGAAAATAGAGTTATGAATTCTTTGTAACTGTTTTCTTTTTCCTTTTTAGCCCAATTTTATAAGTGCTACCTATTCCCTCACCAAGCTTATACTGATCATTAAAGACAGATGAAATTTGGCTTAGAAACTTTTCCCTCAGCAACTTTATTAGTAAAATATATATATTTTTAAATATTACTTATGACTTCTTAAATTTTACTCTGGTGATGGATTTTAGGAATATGGGATCATTTAATTTCCTGCTTAGGCAATGCTAAGCTTTCTGCCGTTGATAGAAACCAATGAGATAGCTTTTATTTTATGATTATTAGCACATGGACTCTGGAAACATGTGTCAGTACTCCCAGGGGTCTTCCCCACTTCTTAATATATTTTTAAATTACACAAGAATTCATTAATGCATTCACATTGTAAAAATTAAAACATTGCCAATAAAACTAAAGATCCTTGACCATTCCTCACAATCTTATTCCCCTCCCTTTGGTGTGTTTCCTTCCAAACCGTTCCCCTATGCTTGGGTTTGTTTTTTTTTTTTCTCCTATGTAGCATGAGATGTATGCTATGTATACTATGAAATGTATAATGCTATTTTGTCTTCATTAAAGATTTTCTATATGTATTATTTGGCAAATTGCTTTTTTTACCCGATAAGGCCATACTGTTGTTTTTTTTAAATAACATTATTATAGAAACAAATACATGTGCTTTGTAAAGATTCAGAAAATACAGATAGGTAAAAATAAAAAGGAAAAACATCATGTTTCCACCAGTGAGAGATCACCTCTGTCATATCCTAGTGCATATCTTTTCAGATAGTTTTCTCTGCATTTACATGAATTTTCTGGGTGTTTATTGCCCTTAAGTCTTTTACAGTCTAGAACAGCCCTTTTTCCTTATGACGTGACCTTTTCTTCATGATGTTCCACCTTTTGGACTTGACAGGTTTCTTCCTCATAGTATTATTTTGTCATCTATCCTCTAGTTTTTGTAAACTAGATTTTTGTCTTGAATAAAAGCTGGTGCTATGTTATATCACATTAAAAACCTACAAATCTGGTTCTCCTCATTAGTGATACTGGATTGACCTCTGGATTAGAGAGATAACAATCTGGTCCTTTTGTGCAGTTAGTTTTTTCCCCCTTGTGATGACTAGAATGTAATCTAAATGATGATACTTTGGCATTATATCAATGACCAATTTCACATCAGCCTAATAGTTACTCATATCAATTGATAATCCTTACCTGATAATTTTTTTAAATTGAGGTGAAATTGACATACATTATATTAATTTCAGGTATATAACATGATGATTCAGTATTTGTACATATTACAAAATGATCACAGTAAGTCTAGTTAACATCTATCGTCATACATAGTTACAAAATAGTTTTTTCTTGTGATGAGAACTTTTAAGACCTACTCTCTTAACAACTTATAAATATGCAATATAATATTATTAGTTCTAGTCACCATGTTGTACATTACATCCCCAGGACTTATTTTATCCTTGAAGTTTGTGCCTTTTATCCTTCTTTGACCTGATAATAGTTTTATTAGAGTTAATGAAATAGTACTTTTCCAATGTTACTATTTCTTCTATACTTATTGTCATTCTGCTGTGAAGGGGATATTTTTTTTCCTCATTAGGTAGGGTTGTATGGTTATCCTGAAATATATCTCCTACTGGGAAGGCAGGAGATAGGATTAGATCTTTCTTTTTCATTACCAGTATTCAAAGTAGATTTGTTTTTTTTTTAATAGCCACTTCATGTGGTTCAGATGAATTTTTCTATTCTTTTTTAGTGTTATTCCAGATTCAGTGTGTTTCAGTCCACTACAATCATTATTCTTTTAATGTTCACATTCTCACAGTTTTGGCCACCGGGACTCCTTCAAGCTCACTGCTGTGTCTGGCCCAACCTCTTTAATCGTAGGTAGCATCCTTGCTTTCTGGCATTGCAAGATGCCCTCCACTGTTTTTTGTTTAGAAGGAAGTCTTTTGCATTAAACACACACACTCTAGGAAGCATCAGTGCAAAAGGCATTGTGGGGAATTCATTATATCTTCACCAGACAAATTATACTGCCCTTGCCTTCTTTTTGTAGCGGCATCCACCCATCCTAAGGAAATAAGCCTGTTCCTGAAATTCTGACTCCTTGTTTCTTTCCCCACTCTAACACACATAGAAACCATTGTAATTTGAAGAGTTAGAGAGCATGTGATTTTTTTTTAAGTTTGCATTTTAATTCCAGTTAACGTACAGTGTTATATTAGTTTCAGGTGTACAATATAGTGATTCAGCACTTCCACACATCTACCCCTGTGCTCATTACAAGTGCACTCCTTAATCCCCATCACCTGTTTCACCTGTCTCTCCCACCTCTACCTCCTCTCTGGTAACCATTAGTTTGTTCTGTATAATTAAGAGTCTGTTTCTTGACTTGTCTCTCTCTTTTTCTTTTTTTTCCCCCCTTTGAGAGAGTATGTAAGTGCTTTTTTATTTTCTTTACATCTAGTCTGATTTCATTTGGATCCAGACCAAATGTACTGATTTAAAGAGTTGATTTCATTGAATTCAACTTAGTCGGTTGTGTATCTCTATTCTGCATCCTCAGGAAAAAAAAAAAGAGAGAGAGAAAATTCAGTATGCTGAGAGCAAGTAGCTCATAACTTGCTGGGCAGTAACAGATAAAAAAGACCACGTAGAAAGATAGAAAGAACTTTAAATTATTAATCTAGTCTTAGAGATGAGACTTGGTTTTAAGTTCACAAAAGTATTTTTCCTGCCAGTTTTTTCTATTATTGGGGGTGCACAAATAGTTTAAAGAAACAAAAACAAAAGTCTCCTTCAGAGGAGGTAGGCCGGAAGAATTGACCAAGAGTGATGTAGCCTAGGAGAAAGCCTTCTGGTTGTTTTTTAATGAAGGAAGGGAGCCATCTGTTGGTTTTTTTAGGAAATTTTAAAATTCAGTTTAAAAGCTCCATTGAGAGGCTTCAGCTTTATCCATCTTTGCATATTGAATCCTAAAATTCCCTCCAAAGGACTTGTGGGAGGAGGCTGCAGCGAGTAAATAGAAAGTGTACGTTAGATCCCTCCGACCCAGGTTTTCTGAAGAAGTCTAACCTGATGTACTTGTCATACTGCGCAGGTCTTTGGTTCCTGACCAAAGGAACTATAAAGCTAAGAAATACAATTTTGGATGTTTGATAATTATATAGTATGGCAATCTAGGACTTCTTAAGTGGCCGAACCTGATGCAGCAACCCATGTCTCATTTCTTGTATATTTCCCTCAAATGGTACATCCCTCATTCTGCCTGTTGGTGTTGGTTTTGTTGACACTTTGGTGGTTTTTGTTATTTCCTGAAAGTAAAAATCACTAGGTTCGATTTTCTTGCTGTTCTTTTCTTACAAACTCTGTTTTTGTTTTTGTTTTTTTAGTGGATTATCAAACACTTTTACGGGAAAGTCAAACCATCACTGCCATGTGTCTGCATATGAAAAATCTTTTCCTATTAAGCCTGTTCCAAGTCCGTCTTGGAGTGGTTCATGTCGTCGAAACCTTTTGAGCCCCAAGAAAACTCAGAGGCGACATGTTAGTACAGCAGAAGAGGTAAGGAAAACCTGCAACAAAGGCTGCTAAAGGTTAGAATCTTTCCCTGTACTTAGCCATTTGTTCCCTCTGATTTCGATGTTTATTAACCATGCCATTTAATCCTTTCTGTGCTTTTTATTTCTTACTTTTTTGAGTGCCGTCATCTGTGCTAAAGAAATTAAAGAGAGATTTTAGCAGGACTTCCATTTCTCTTACTGTTTTCTATTCTTGTTGAGCAGCAGACTTAATTTTCAGTATTTTCTAAATGACTTCTTATACATCAAACTATCTCTGTTCTCTCTTTTTTGGACCCTTCCTCAACTCGAGTTTCTTGTGGCAAAACTGTTAACCTTGCTGGATTTGATAAAATACCTGCCCTTATTTCTTATTAGGACAATTTCCCCTCAGTATAAAAAGAAAATCAAGAAGCCAGCAAAATAATTTATGTCCCTTCATTATGAGCAAGAAGATTTTTGAGATCATAGATATTCCCCAAAAGAAAGATGTTTTGTTGACACTTTTGTTGTTATATGCATTCAGTAAACCTAAAGGAAAAAAATCAATTCTGTAAATATAATATGGCATATAATTTATGTGGTAGAGAATGTGCTTGTACCTGTTAAATATTTATTATGCATCTAGTCAGCCTTGGACTGCTTGCTATGAGGATACAAATAAATAACAATACCTTACATTTATGTAGCATATAGAGTTTCCAGTATGCTTTCCACATGTATTATTATGTTGAATCATTTTAATCCTGTGAAATAGGTAGAGATGAGGTAATATCTACATTTTATACGTATTAGGAGAGTGAAGGTCAGAGGTCATACAGCTAGTACATGGCCAGCCTACAACCCAGATCTTCTGGAGTCTAGTCTGGTATGCATCCTGTTATACAACACAGCGGTGTAGTTCCAGCCCATTGGAGCTTACAGACTGGGGAGTCAAGAATACAGCATTTTGTGCTAAATAATTAGATAATTTGAAATGAAGATCTTTTAAGTGGCAAAATGTGATTATTTGTGACATGGTTAGTAAAAATGCTATACATTCTAAAAAAAAAAATGCTATACATTCTGTTTGGTTTTACGTTTGTACTGAATCTGAAATATTTTAAGCAGAGGGTGGCAGAAGTAGTAAGTCATATTTAGTAGAGAAAGGGTAGACGAGAAACTGGCAGCAGTTGGCTTTGGTGATGAGAACTGAGCAACAGTTATAAAAGTGAGATTTATCTTTCACTTTTGTACTACTGAATTTAGTACCACGTATGTATTGGATATTACATAAATAATATTTTTAGATTACTGGGGTTGCTTCTGCTGGAGCCTGGGCAGCCTGTGGGGTCCAGAGAGACTTGTGGGGAAGGAGACAGCAGCAGCATAGTGGCTGGATATTGGCCTCCCAACCCTCCCCTGCCTCACGCGGCTGCCGCTGAGATTACCGGGATCTTTTAAGATTATCTGTGTTCCTTGTAAGCCCACTATTCACCCACTAGCCAGACAGGCCTTTGGACTACTCAGCCCCTCCTCTTTTCACTTCTACCTCCACCTGAGGACTTGGGCCAGCTGGATTATTTTCAACTCTCCAGGCCACAGGCTGGCCCATGTAGGACATGAAGCTGGAGTTCCCCTTCCTTCTACAGTGCCAAAAAGATGCCAAGGATTGAACCTATCCCATGCAACAAGAGATGCAGAAAATTTTGCATCAATCAGTTGTTTTTAGGTCTATATTCTGCTATGAAAAGCGACTCACTTGTAGTATAGGAATACGGAATCAGCCATATAATACAATTGGACCAAACTTTATTAAATCAAAGTATCAACAGATTATTTAGATATTTAGTCTGGGATAGTATGGATAATCTAGATTAAAATATAATACTTTTGGGGGCGCCTGGGTGGCTCAGTTGGTTAAGCGACTGCCTTCGGCTCAGGTCATGATCCTGGAGTCCCGGGATCGAGTCCTGCATCGGGCTCCCTGCTCAGCGGGGAGTCCGCTTCTCCCTCTGACCCTCCTCCCTCTCATGCTCTCTGTCTCTCATTCTCTCTGTCTCAAATAAATAAATAAAATCTTTAAAAAAAATATATATAATACTTTTTTCCCCCAGGGGATAAAGAATTTGCTGGTAGGATCTTACAAAGTGGAGGAAAAGTTATTTTCCATGAAAATATTTGGGATTTCCAAGGGAGATACAGTTGCTTATGTTAAAGAAGGAAAACTATTTTTTAATTTTACTGCTGGATTTATCACCTTCAGGAATCTAAAGCCATCTATAAAATTAACATGATGTTACCACTGCACTGTTCAGTCTTCCAACAGGAGTTTAAAGAAAATACATAAAGAAGAATTTGGAAATACGTAAGTGGTGACTGGACCACCACTTGGCTGATGGCTGATTCAAGGATATTATTAAAGAACTGTACTGTCAAATAGGGTAACCACTAGTCATATGCGCTACTTAAATTAATTCAGTTAAAATAAAAAATTTAGTTTCTCAGTCACATTAGCCACATTTCAAGTACTCATGAGCCACATACTCTGTTGGCTATTGGACACATATTGGACATGTTGCTAAGTGGCTACCATATTGGACACTACAGATACAGAGTATCTCCAATATAACTAACACTGTTTAGAGGATATGGATTTCTGTTTGGGAAAGAGAAAATACTAGGGATTTTAAAAATGTAACACAGTAAAAACTCAGATAGTTTCTTTTCACTTATATGTTGCTTCCAGGCATGCTTCTCTGCAACATATTGAGCAACATTTTAGGATGTTGGACTTCCTTAATAGATGACACTGGTGGTTTTATTCTTTAAAAACAAAACAGACTTTACAATTTTGTCATAACCGAGAATTTTGGACTTAAAGTTGTTGAATTATGCACTTTTGATAGTTGAAATTTATTTATATAATATACATTTTTTTTTTAAAGATTTTATTTATTTATTTGAGACAGAGAGAATGAGAGAGAGCACATGAGATGGGGGAGGGTCAGAGGGAGAAGCAGACTCCCTGCCGAGCAGGGAGCCCGATGCGGGACTCGATCCAGGGACTCCAGGATCATGACCTGAGCCGAAGGCAGTCGCTTAACCAACTGAGCCACCCAGGCGCCCTATATAATATACATTTTAAACAGAATCAAAATTGGGAGATTTATGAAGTTATTTGAGTAATTTACAAAAGATTTTGCTAGTTTTCTAAGATTTATTTTGTGTTCTCTGTTAAATTTTTATAATTTTACAGACAGTTCAGTTTTATGATGGAGACTCTTAACAGAAGCATCTAAATGCAAGAATCTGCCAAAAAATCTATTTTTTAAATCTATTTTTAAAAAACAGAATTCAGCACCTTATATATCTTTATACTGTTTTAAACTTTCCTTGGTCCTTTATTATGTTTAAAACATAACATCAGCCAATTTCTTTTACTTTAACATATTATCCAATTATTATTTCCTTTCCTCTTAATTTCCTAATTTGCTTACTCGGTAGGAACAGTTTAATAAGTTATGTACAGAGAAAGATGTTTTCTTTTACTTTATAGTACCAGATGCTCCAAAAAAGAATTGTGTTTGAAGTTTGAAGTGACTTACCTTTTTACATTTTCTTTTGGTAAAGCCAGATGTTATATATGTTCTTTTGAGAGTTGCTGGGACTATCTTTTCTTTGCCTAAAATAGAAGATAAATTCTTGTGACCTTTAAATTACCGCGTAGAACAGTGAAAAGTTCTTAACCTTTTTTCTATAATTTCTTTTTTAGACTATAAATTAGTTGAAACTGAAAGTATGAGGCTTCAAGAGACCTCAGATAATTATTTGGAATACAGAACATCTATTCCTGTCCATTTTATGGTGTCTAATGACTGTGAGGTTGTTCAGGCTTAGACGCTTTTCTTTGAAAAGCTAGGGAAAATATCTGTGGGTGACCTGTGTGTGTTTAATTGATTTTTAAAAATCAGTTCTTTACATTGAATTAATCTAGATTTGTCATAATTTACTTTAGTTGAGTCACTTAATGGCACCTTGGTTCTTCATGTTTTATTTAGAAGTATAAAAATTTATTCTAAAACCATTTTGCCGTGTGATGTGAGGGAGGAGAGAAGTGTTTTTAACTTTTTACAGTTGAAGTCTGTAGGGTACCACAAGCAAAGATCCTTTCTATGTCACTGTTCTCAGTGTGCTTGTGAAGTCTTCATATGATGGGGATATTTCTTTACATTCCCTTGGTATGCAGAGTAAACTCTTACACCAATTTCTCTGCTTTATTTTCCTCCCTGTGATGTGATAATACAGTCAAAGCTTTTTAAAATCTAGTTTGGTAGGACAGTGGAAATGAACTAAAATGATTGGTTAATTAAGAGTTAATTTCCATGATCCAGGTGGTATTACTCTTCTGATTTGCCTTCACTCCTTCCATTTTACCACTCCTGAAAACAACATACTGTTAACCCCATTGTATTGTGGGTTATGAATTAGGTTATTTGGTGTAGTGGGAAAGTGGGGTCAAAATTTACATTGGTGGGAGTATGCCTGGGTGGCTCAGTCAGTTAAATGTCTGCCTTTGGCTCAGGTCATGATCCCAGGGTCCTGGGTTCGAGCCCCACATCGGGCTCCCTGCTTAGCGGGGAGTCTGCTTCTCCCTCTGCCCCCTCCCCCTGCTCATACTTGTGCTCCCTCTGTCTCTCTTTCTCTCTGACAAATAAATAAATAAAATCTTTTAAAAAAATTTACATTGGTGGGTGTTCAAAAATTTCACTCATTAAAGTGCCAGATAACACAGCTTTCCTGTATATAGATCACTATGGAGTTGGCTGGCAGTCTCTTACAATCTAATAATCTGTAATGAAGCTTCATTCCTCAGACTGTCTACTTAAAGAACCTTTATAATAACATATTTAGTTTTTAATAAAAAGGCATTTATTGTAGTTACAGTTTTTAAATTTATGTCTCAGATACTCATGTCCTTCCCAGTACAATAGCCAAAACCTACAGATTTGGTAATTGATATTAATGTATACCTGCTAACCATTATCACTCCTGTGCTGTCACTGAAGTGCCTGCCCAATACTGTAGACCGTCTCTTCACAAACACTAGGAAAAACAACTGCTGTCATCTTAAATACAGTATTAATGTATAAGGGATAAAATAATGGAGTTTATTTTCTTCATATAGAAAATTGCAAATTGTTTTTTCTCTCGGGACTACTTTTCTACCAAATGTTCAACGAATTTTACCTTATTACTCATCTGTTCAAATTTAAGGATAGCTCTTTTTCATAGGGAGTTGTCATGCTTCACAGTTCAAGGTGAATCTTGTTAGATCAGTAATATTATAGTGACAATGTGACTGAAATTTACTATGTAGCAAACAGTGATCAAGAAGAAAAAACTTAGTGTCTGTTTGCCTTTGCATAGATAGTTGCTTAACTCATTGTGCTTTTAATAATTATAATTGAATAAAATGCTTATGCACATATTGAAGGGTCATAGTGCAGGGTGCTGCTAGCCCTGGCACAAAGCATTAAAATTATTTCGTGAAGATGGGTGGTTGTATTAAACTGTATATAAGGTTTTTTTTTTTTTAAAGTACCAGGGCATATTATTTAGTGAATGCAGCCCACTGCTTCAGGGGAAGAGTATAGAATAAACGCTTTCCTGTGGTTACAAGTCCATATGTAATCTGGTTCTCTGCCAAGTGACCTCATTTCTTACTGCTCTTCTGATTCACACTGACCTCACTTTTCCTTGAACACATCAAGCACATACCTGTCTCAGGGCCTTTGCATTTGCTCTTCCTCTGCCTGGAATAGTCTTTTACAAATTTCTGTGACTTACCTCTTCCCCGGATACAGGTTTCTCTTGAAATACCACCTTTTTAAAGGGGTCTTACCTGTTCTTGTTCTTTCCCCTCCATCACTTTCTATTCCCTTATCTTTAATTTTTTCATACTATCTGACTAGTCTTGTTTGCCATTCCCTTTAATGGTAATGTAAGCTCCATAAGGAAAGGAATTTTATTTTATTCAGTGCAATATCTCTAGTGAGTGGTGCTTAGTAGGTATTCAAGTTAATAAATGAATTCAGTACTGGGGCTTAGGAAGAAGAGTAAATATTGGAGATGGAAACCATCTCTGGAAAATACTTATACTCTTAAAAATATAGAGTATTTCTACTCTAGATAAAGTAGAAAACAGCAAGGTATCCCACTCTGATTTTGACTATTCTGGTTACTTCCTTGTGGTTTTTCTAGTAGATGTCAGGACTCCTAGGGTTTGTTGGAATCCTAATTGAGAGATCCTCAAATATTTTGTTTCTGGGACTCTTATCAGTTGACTCAAAAGTGATTGCTTACTGGTCTTCTGGTTTCATATCCTAGAGCCTGTCTGTACTGTTATTTATGTATGTGTCCCATAATTTTCTTTCTTTTTTTTTTTTCTAAAATACACTATCTGGTATTTATTTCATTTAACTCCTCTTATAATTTTCTAGAATATCCCTAATGATAATTCTTAATTATCTTGAGGGACTCTATCTGAACTTTGGCAGAACTTCTGGGAATCTAGATGCTGTTTTGAAAAAAAAATTTTCCTCACTGGGTGTGTCTAAGATTTTTCTTTTTTTTTTTTTCTTTTTTTTATATAGACAGTCCAAGAAGAAGAAAGAGAGATTTACAGACAGCTGCTACAGATGGTCACAGGGAAACAGTTTTCTGTAGCCAAACCCACCACACATTTTCCTTTACACCTGTGAGTCACAGAAACATAGTTCAAATGAATTTAATTCTACATTTTATTATTTGATATTGAAACTATATTCTTCTCTTGCTAGATCTCGATGTCTTAGTTCCAGTAAGAGTACTTTGAAAGACCCACTGTTTAAAAATGGAAACTCTTGTGCCGCTCAGATCATTGGCTCTGATACTTCATCATCTGGATCTGCTAGCATTTTAACTACCCAGGAACAACTGTCCCACAGTGTGTATTCCTTATCGTCTTATGCCCCAGATGTTGTGGCATTTGGATCCAAAGATTCTGATCCTCTCCATCAACCCCAACATCACCACTCTCTTCTACATCAGCCAGATAACTTACCAGCTTCAAATGCACAATCAGAAGGTAAAATTGGTTTTGTATAACTATATTTTCTTTTTTTAAAGATTTTATTTATTTGAGAGAGAGAATGAGAGAGAGAGAGTGCGCATGAGAGGGGGGAAGGTCAGAGGGAGAAGCAGACTCCCCACCGAGCAGGGAGCCTGATGGCGGGACTCGATCCTGGGACTCCAGGATCATGACCTGAGCCGAAGGCAGTCGCTTAACCAACTGAGCCACCCAGGCACCCTGTATAACTATATTTTCAATCCTAATAGCCAGTTAACTGTTTATGGGATCTGTGTGAATCATAGGCAAGGTTGTAAGATGCATGTAACTTAATTAACATATAAGAAACTTTAAATACATATAATTCAGTTAGCTATACCACAAATAAACTAAACCTGCAAGTAACTTACTTTTTTCTTACATGGAGATGCAAATGATTTCATATATTTTACTTAAAAGATGAACTTCCTGAGCAGAGTCTAGAGTCAGAGCACAGTCAGCCCAATTACTTCAGTACTTTCTCTGTTTTTAGTACTTTACATTGACCATTAAGTACTCTGAAGTTCTAAGAGTTTTGGAACATCAATTAAGTATTGAAGTAAAAGTTCTTAACCAGGTAATACTTAAAAAACCTATATAGTAGGTTTATGGTTTTAGAATGGTCATCAGCAAATTTCAGAAACAAAAAGAGGTTTTTTTGTTTGTTTTTTAAAGATTTTATTTATTTCAGAGAGAGAGAGAGTGAGAGAGAGAGCACAAGAGGGAGTAGGGTCAGAGGGAGAAGCAGACTCCCTGCTGAGCAGGGAGCCCAATGCAGGGCTTGATCCCAGGACCCTGGGATCATGACCCGAGCTGAAGGCAGACGCTTAACCGACTGAGCCACCCAGGTGCCCCAAAAAGAGTTTTCTACCTAATTTTCAGCTAACCAAAAAAGCCAGACTCTTAGCATTCCAGTTAATGAAGGTTTTCTATAATTTTCTTTGTTTGCTTAGTTTTCCCCTTCTTTAGCTATGTGTTGTGTGTATTTATGATAGTATGTATTTTGGGGTATATAACTTAAGTTTTAGCGTAAGTGGTTAGACATTAGGGATTTTTTTTTTTTTTAAGATTTTATTTATTTATTTGAGAGAGAATGAGAGAGAGAGAGAGAGCACATGAGACGGGGGAGGGTCAGAGGGAGAAGCAGACTCCCTGCTGAGCAGGGAGCCTGATGCAGGACTCGATCCCGGGACTCCAGGATCATGACCTGAGCCGAAGGCAGTCGCTTAACCAACTGAGCCACCCAGGTGCCCGACATTAGGGATCTTTTGATAGATCAATCTCTAAGGCTCTTCCCTCCTTCCTCAGATTGTTTGTTGTTTTGTTTTTTTTTTTTTTTTTAAGATATTCCTCACTTTCTTAAAATTTTCACTTGGGGATTAAAATTGTTGGTGGCATCATCTTATAGCTACACGTATTCATGAAAACCTTTATAAAATTTTGTGAGATGGTTTACTGGGAACTACCATTAAAAAAAGCCTTTAACCTCAGAAACATAAGTTGTATGACAAAGGCTTAGATGCAACTAAACTGAAATATACTGTAGTCCATTGAAGTGTTTCATTACTTTTCTTGTACCATTTAATAAATATTCTAAATGAGGTTCTAATCATTTAGATTAGGACATGATCCTCTAGAAGGACACAATTCCTGCCTTTATGAACACCGAAAATAAATGATGAAATGATAGAATTTGTACTTTTTAGACTCTGCTACTTCTGTAGTTATCTTTCTACTTTCCGTTCCCCCTCCTTTCTTTCACCTTATTCAGTCTCATGGTAGTTCATGAACTAAAGACTTTTGAGAAATCTTGGCTTGTTCTTGTTCCCCAGGAACAGAAAGCTGCAGCACAGGAATCAAGCACAGCCCAGGAGTAGATGATGAAGGGCATATATATACTTGTATTTAAGAATAACTGCTTTCTTTGTGAGGCAAGCTCTTCACTAAGCCCTTTTTCTGGCTCAGTGAAAATGGACCTGCCTCTCTTTCTCTTCCATCCTACCTTTGTCCTTATGCTGCATTATTTTTGTGAAAATAGAATATAACAAAGTATGGGAACTTAGACTACAAACATCTAGAGTGTATAACTGTGTAGGATTTTATTAATAATGATATGCTCTTGTGTTTCTTTTTTAGGATCAGACTCTGTGATTTTACTCAAAGTGAAAGATTCCCAGACTCCAACTCCCAGGTAAGCTTTGGAAAAAGGACATTCTTGACATATTTTCTTTTTCTTCTCTTTAATCACAATTTCTTCACTAAGAGTTACATAATATAAAAGTCAGACTGCCTCAGTTCAGACCTCTTGCCTGTGTTATTTGAATTATTTCAGTGACTTTCAAATTGGTCTTCTTCCTCTGGCCTCCTTATTGTGCTTCATTCCATCTTCCACCATGTTCTCAGATCCATTCTTTGCCTGTTCTTTTACATCTTCCATTCTGCAACCAGAGTGGTCTTTTAAAAATGCACATCTGATTATTCATTAAATTCCCACAAGAGTGGGCTATCAGACATAGAGTCAAGCCCAAACTCCTTAATATGGTATATAAAACATTTCCTCCACATGCCTCACTTCCTATCACACGTTCTTTCCTTTAACAAGTATTTATTGACAACTTACGTGTGCCAGGTCCTGATACACACACTGAGGCTAATAGCAGTGAACAAAATGAAAGCCTTGCACTCAAGGAGCTTACATTCCGGTTATAAGAGGTGTAAGGAAAAAGATGGGGGGACAAATAATGAACAAATAGATAAACATATATGTCTGGTAGTGATAAATGTGAAAAAAAATAAAGCAGGGTAACATATAGACAGGGTTAAGGGGGCACAGTTTATCTGGGTGGTCATGGCAAGTCTGATAAGGAACATTTGAGGGGAGGCGTGATGGAGGTGAGAGGAGGAGCCATATGGGAAGATGGGAGTCTTTTGTGTGTTTATTACATGCTGAACTATAATATAATATGTACTTACTTACCTTCATAGTCAGTGTTCCTTCTGCCTGGTATGTACCCCGCCCCCACCTCAACTTGTCTATCTAAAGAAGCAGGAGTCTCTTTCTTGTCTTTTAAGTCTCAATTCAAATGTGATCTTCTATATGATACTTGACTTCTATGTGAAACTTTTTGCTCTGTAATTCAGTCGGTTACTACTTAGATCGTAGTTTCTTTGCCATTGCTGTTTCAATTGCTGAAATGATAATAGTATCAGTTTTCCATTGAGGAATTAGGGATAATGAAATGTTCTTTCTCACCTCAGTTTCTATACTTCTTTGTGGCTCTCCTCTATGTCCTGAATTTTAGATTTTTAAAGAAAAATTCTCTGTTGTACTTTCTCAAGGAGACTTTAAAGTTTGGAGTTCTTATTCTTTATACATTTTTTTTTCTTGAGTCAGACCTGGGTTTTGATCTTGTCCAGGCATCATGTAACTTTGGGCAAGTTACTCTTCTGAACCTTAGTTTCCTTATCAATAAAAATGCTAGTATTAATACCTTACTATTTATTGAATTGCGTGAAGGTTAACATACACAAAAAGCATTTATAAAAGTGTTTTCACACATATACACAAAAGTAGGTATTCTTTCTTGGGAAAAAGTCGGTCTCATGTAAAGAGTGCTTTTAGTTCTTTAATGGCTCTTTACCCAGTGTGCCTTTCCTTTATGGAAGATTTCTCTTGGTGATGCCTGAAGAATGAGATGGAGGGAGAAATGGTCTGTTGGGGAAGGCTGATTGAATAATGCTGTTTATTGCAGTTGGAGCCTGCTCTCCCAAGGCTTGGTTGATTGGCTTTTTATTCTTAATCTCCCACTACTGCCTCTTGGTTAAGGTGTAGCATTGAAGATCTGCCCTTATTTCCCCGAATATGCCATGCTGTTTCCTGTTTTTGTGCCATTGTACATGCTGATCCTAACCCCTGGAATTTTCTTTCTCTCCTTGTCCACTTGTTAAACTCTTGTTTTGCTTCACAGAATCTGATTCAGGTGTTATTTTCTCCTCAAGACATTTCTCTGACTCCTCCAGATAGCATTAGCCTTTTCTTCCAGTACTTTTATCCCTATATCTTGTTCATTAGTAATACCTTTGCACTAATCACCTAATGTTGATCATAGTGCCTGGCACATGATGGGTACTTAGTAAACAAATCTTTGTTAAACATGCATTTCCTGGGGCGCCTGGGTGGCTCAGTCGTTAAGCGTCTGCCTTCGGCTCAGGTCATGATCCCGGGGTCCTGGGATCGAGTCCCACATCGGGCTCCCTGCTCGGCAGGAGGCCTGCTTCTCCCTCTCCCACTCTCCCTGCTTGTGTTCCTGCTCTCGCTATCTCTCTCTCTGTCAAATAAATAAATAAAATCTTTAAAAAAATAAAATAAAATAAAATAAAAAACAAACAAAAACAAACAAAAAAAACCATGCATTTCCTAGAAAGCCTCAAATGCTCTCTTGAGCAGCTCAAGTACTCATCATTTCCCTATTGGTTTAAGGCTTTGGTTTATTGAAAGGCACATTGCAAGAGTTAGAAAACACAGTCTTTGGAATTGGACAGACATAGTTTCTAATCCTGACTTCCAAAACAGATTATCCTCTGAACCTCGATTTCCTTTTCTGTGCACTATAAGTAATAATTCCTTATTACATATTATATTGAGGTTTAACTAGTATGAGAATTATCATGAGGCTTAACTCCTAGAAAACCTCTAAAGCAGAATTTCACACAGAGCACTGAGTAGGTGCTCCTAAGTTGTTTTAGTTATTACTGTATGCTTCAGTCATATGAAAAATAATGTATAATCTCTTTGAAAAGCAAAAGGATTTTGCTTTTTCCCTTGCATTTTACTTTCCTACGCCAGCAAATACCTTGATCCATTGAAGAGCAGTACTTTTCCCTTACAGTATTCATTTATTCAGGAAGCACTGAGTACCTGCTGTCTGCCAAGCACTATTCTTGGTGCAGAGGATATGGTAGTAAGTACAAAACACAAAAATTCCTATCCTCATTAAGCTTATGGTCTAATAAGGAAGCAGACAAATTTCAATAGCATGATCCAATACCATGAAATTCTGGGCAATTCTTGTCACTTCTTTATATTGTGCAGTAAATGTGTTTTCATGTTTATTTGTTTTTAGTGTCACACAGTAGGCCCCTCACAGTGCTACCACTGATCTCTGTGGCTTTCTGTCTTGGTTGTTACATCACATTCACTGTGCCAAGGGTGTAAGCCACTACTTGTGTGTTTTCCCTTTATTAACCTCAGTGACAGTGGGGAGGCAATAGAACAGCATTTTCATTGCCAAATCCTAGTCTAAGGATGATGGGGAATACTGATTCCAAAAAGTAGGCTAAGGAGCAAGGGATACCCTCTTGAGTCCTTTTTCTTGCCTTCACTAGGACAGACTGTAGCAGTTGAAGAACTGAAAGGGACTCTGATTTCCATATTTTACAAATCTGGAACTAAGACCCATGGAAATGAAGTGACTTGGTCAAAGTCACAAAGTGAATCAGGGACCACTCCAGGAGATCCAGGTCTCTTAACTCTCAATTTAATGCTTTGTTCTCTTTACTTGTTCTATGTATCTAAGGGTTTTCTTTGGAAAAGTGTTCACTCTTCTGTTTGCTTCTGTGAGAGATCCTTCAGTTAGGGATTGGCAAGGAGATGAGGACATTTGAGAAGAGCAAGCGGCTCTAGGAGAGAGAACATGCCTGGGAGTCTTTTGCTAAGCATTATTCATTTGGACTGTCAGCAAGAGCTGTGTGGAATAGAATTGGTCGCTCATCTTTGGAGTGGAGTTGTGTTGCTGATTTTCCACTTTGATTCATTGGCTCACTAGCCATTTGATAAGGACTCTTGTGTGGGTGGGGATTTTCATTGTCCAGTATGATTTGGTTGAAAATATTTTGATTCAAGTAGACTGACAAGAAGTCCAAGATTTGACTAAATCATTAATAAATCTGTTAATCTGAACCATTTGGGAGGAGTCATGTTCTAGGTTAATATATTCTCTTGGCAAGTGATGTACTCTTTCACATCGTATTGGTCTCTTGTGCAAGTAAAGGGCTATGTTACAGTTAATTTCTCTGCTGAACTTTGGGTCATCTTTTTAACTAGTATGTGTGCAAATAACTCATACTTGTATTCCTTTAGTTCCTAGTTGCAATTATCTTATGTGCTTTTCGACTTTTTATTTATTGCATACATATAAAGTATTCTTGTAAATTATTTAAATGATTGATTTTCTTGGTGAAAATATTTGAATTTTCTTATAAGCCTCCTGCTCATTTGTCGTATTTTTTCCCCACCCATAGTCCTACTTTTTTCCAGGCAGAGCTGTGGATCAAAGAATTGTAAGTTGTTATTTTTGGTATCATTTTTCCTTCTCCATCACTTCCTTTCCAGTTAGAAGTAGTCAATTAGCCAATCACCCTACCTATATTTAATCAGTAAAGATTCCCTACTTAATGTTTATTTATAAAACAACTTTTAAGTTGTTGGGTTTTTAGAATTCTATTGGGGTTGGGACGTTTCTGTGCTCAGGTTTATTAAATATGTAACAATTGCTGAAACTAAATTGAATTGGAAAACTTTCAAAGTTAGATATTACATAGAAAGGAAAATAAATGCCCTTATTTTCACATTGATAAAACTAATTTAGTGAAAAATTCACATTTCTGGAGTTTGCAAAATTACTGAGTTTTTAGTCTCCAGTTTCAATAACTCACTTGGAGTTATCCAAATCCCTGGTCTTGTTCATTTTTTTAGAGAAAAAAAATAAACTCATATTTTTTCTTTTGGATCATAAATATTTGAATTGAAACCTCAATGATATCTTGTATTATTTGCTCCTTTGGGATACAGTCTCATTTTTGGGTTTCTAGAATGAAGCTTTAGTTTCTCTGTAATCTTAGAAGCATGCTTTAAAAAAAACAAAAACAAAAACTACACATTTACAAATATCCACAAAAGTCACCTGTTCACATTTAGCAATAAACTAATAATTTTCATCATTTCAATAAAAATAGGATAATTTTAATAACACCATATGGTTTCACTCTGTCTTAAAATATAAGTGTAGTGTAGCGATAAGTTTAGTGTAAGGATTTTAGATTTTCTGTATGAGGGTTTTATATTTAATGTTCACTGTGCATTAACAATGTGCCTGATGCTAAGATGGTGGTCTGCATTTTTGTCCTGTTCCTTTTCATTTCCTAGAACTAGTGTTTATGATTCTCGAGCACGGGAGAGATTGCGCCATATTGAAGAGCAGAAAGCACTGGCATTACAGCTTCAAAACCAGGTAAACAAAAAACGGGGGATAAGGTTGTAAGTAAATAGTACATCCAAGTTGAAACTAATTTGGAAGATTACCTGGATTTGGGATCAAAGCTATTGTAATTGCAAGATGTTATGGTAGCATAGCATTATATGATTAGTGTATGTCCTTAGTCTCTCCAGCTGGTCCTACTCAGTGTATGTAGACAAGTAGTAGTTTTCCTTATCCCACTTATTCTAAAGTTCTTTTTTGCAGAGATTACAGGAACAGGAACACTCAGTACATGATTCAGTAGAACTGCATCTTCGTGTGCCACTTGAAAAGGAGATCCCTGTCACGATCACCCAAGAAACAGAAAAGAAAGGTCATAAATTAACTGATAGTGAAGATGAATTTCCTGAAATCACAGAGGTAAATTACATACTACAGATTCTTGTGCTAGCAAGTGTGTTTATAAAAAATACTTTGAATGAATTTCAAACATAGAAGTAATAGAACACCTGGCATTTAAATTGTATTGCATACCCCTGCTTTCATTTGTATTACAATACCAATCTTGGCTTTCTTTTTAAAGGATTATTGGAAATTGAGGAAAGAATTGTGGGTGGCTTTTCACGACTTAAGTGAAAAAAAATTTAATTTGTGCTTCATTTTATGTACATTTTTACTTTTAATGTATGTGTACAATAGTTTGACATCAAATAGTAAGCTGAGGCTTACTATTTTTTTTAAGTAGTAAAAAATCTATACAAAAATCTTTGTACATTTTAAGATAATCTGTTCCTTAATCCATTCTTCTGTTTGAAAAACTATCATATAGCTTGTAAGTATAACACATTTATTGTAGTTGTGCTGGATTCCAAAATTTACATTTAAAAAGCCCAAATTTTTCTAGGAAAATGTGTCTGAAGACACTACCTTTATCCCCTTCCTACCTTTTGGGAAAGATTCTATTTATTAGGAAATTGTGCAGACCAAAGATATGAAATATAATTAGGTCTTCTTGTGGACTTAGAAAATTTGATAGCAGAAGGTTATTTCAGACTTAGGAATAAAAGAAAGAAGGGTCTGAAATGTTGTGCTGCAAATGAGAAGGGAGGACAAGACAGGATGAAAGGAAGTAACCCAGGAGATTACTGGAAGGAATAGAATCCAAACCAAAATGTTAGGAGTGAACAGTTGATTACTGATAAATATAGTCTGGGGATTATATGGGGCATGGTGAGAAATTTAGTGTGTCTGTAGCCCTGCAGGCTTCATCTCTGGTACCTCTTGGTTCCCTAGGAAATGGAGAAAGAAATAAAGAATGTATTTCGTAATGGTAACCAGGATGAAGTTCTGAGTGAAGCATTCCGCTTGACCATTACACGCAAAGATATTCAAACTCTAAACCATCTGAACTGGCTCAATGATGAGGTAATCTCGCACCTGTTTTTATATTCAGATAGTAAGTGAGCATTAAGTGGAAACTAAATCAAGGCATTATCTCACTGTTTCTCGAAGTGTGGTCCTCAGATGACCTCCATAGAATCGGCTCTCCTAGGTTTGTCCATTCTCCTGAGTATGAGACAGTGTGGTGGAGAAACGCATTTTAAACAAGTACCTCAGTTGATTTTTTTTTAATATACCTTTGAGTCTGAGAACTGCTGATTTACCTTGTTATGTAAGGAAGATTTAGACACTGAGGGAGAGGACATTCAATCTCACTCTTTTTAAGGCACCTAGCCTGCAGTTCACATCTTCTGAGCAAATATTTAATAGCTCTGACTATGATGCAGCATGAAAGAACTTTGGGATTTCCATCAGGGCTTCCATTTCTATTTCCTTTTTCATCGGTATGTTCTAGGTCACCTAGGTTATGAGAGGTAAGCTTTCTAAAATAGCCTACATTTATATATGATATTGAAAAAGCTATGTTATTAAACATACTGATATTGAAAAAGCTATATTATTAAATATTTGATGTACTGGGTTGAAAGAAAGCTATGGCCCTCAGCTCCTGCCAATAATTTTAAGTAGATTAATTACACTACAGTCTTTTAACTAATCTGTCCCCATTCTTAAACCTGGAGGAGCCTGTTTTATTTCAGAAGGATATTTTTCACAGCAAAAGAAGAGAACAGGGTTGCGTTTTTTTCTCTAAGTGCTTGCTTCCTTTCTTAGGCCCAGTAGAAGCATCCCTGCCTGATATTTTGGATATACTCAAAACTTTACAGCTGTGGAAGATTTTTAGATACTCAGTATAATAAGCACTAGGTATTCTAGATATCTATAATCTGCTTAGGATCTTCCAAATAATAATATTTGCTAACATCTATTGAGCATTTACATCATGTTGGGCACTATTGTAAGTGTTTTATGTGTTCTATTTATATAATAGTCACCACAGACCTTGGAGGTATACACTGTAGTTTAACCATTTCTATTTTATAGATGAAGAAACAAAGCATGGAAAGATTAAGAAACTTTCAAGGTTATATGGCCAGTAAGTAGCAGAGCCAGGATTTAGACCCAAACATTGAGTCTTATCTGTTATATTATACTGCCTCAGAATCCTAAATTGGATCCTGTCTTAGGGTTAGATGTATAGAATTTGAGAGCCATATGCCATGCCCAGCATGTTGATTTTCTCTGGGGGCAGCTAGACTACCCCATTCTCTTTGCCACTGATCAGCTTCTAAAATATAGATTTCAGGGGTGCCTGGGTGGCTCAGTTGGTTAAGCAGCTGTCTTCGGCTCAGGTCATGATCTCAGGGTCCTGGGACTGAGCCCCACATCAGGTTCCCTGCTCAGTGGGGAGCCTGCTTCTTCCTCTCCCTCTGCCGCTCCCTCTGTTTGTGTTTGCTTACTGTCAAATAAATAAATAAACTCTTAAAAAATAAAATATAGGGGCGCCTGGGTGGCTCAGTTGGTTAAGCGACTGCCTTCGGCTCAGGTCATGATCCTGGAGTCCCGGGATCGAGTCCCGCATCGGGCTCCCTGCTCGGCGGGGAGCCTGCTTCTCCCTCTCCCCCCTCCCCCTGCTGGTGTTCCCTCTCTCGCTGTGTCTCTCTGTCAAATAAATAAATAAAATCTTAAAAAAAAAATAATAAAATAAAATAAAATATAGGTTTCAGAAGTTCATCATTCCCTGAATAATATCTTTGACCAAGAATGGTAAGGAAGGTATGGTTTGATACTGTCTTGCATTAGGGGAAATCACCCTTGCTTCTTTTGGCTCAGAATAGTGATATTAGAACACTGGATCACATAACAGGAAAAAAAAAAGTTCACTAGATCGAAGTGCAAAATGGAAATCAAGGGCAGTCAAAAGTATCCATCAATTAAATGTTTTTGATTTGAAGACATTAATCTGTGGTTTCTTGCCAGTTTCTGCCTGCCACTGCTAAATGGGAAGGGATCAGTTATTCTATAGGGATTGTAGCCCATTCATTGTAAATTATGCAGAGCCTCCTAGAGGGCAGCAATGAGTAGGGTATGAGCTGAGTCCCTGCTGTTTACTGTGGCAGTTACCTTGGTGAGATCCCTTACAGAGGTGGCATTCATCAGGATATGTTTTCCATTCCCTCGGCCCATCAAAGATTGGATTTTTAGCAAGCAAAGTTCATGGAAATTACATTATTCAGAAAAGTCGAGGAGAAGGAAAGATTCCTTTTCTACTTTATCTCTACCACACCTACCCATAACTTTTGTGGGAATTGCTTGTGTTCTGAGTTTAGAATGTTAACCTTGAAAGCAGGTACCAATTCACATGTCCGTGATGATAACTGTTTTGGAAAGCACCATTTTCAAAGTACTGTACTTCTCAGGCTTTCAAAGTTACTGTCTTTGGGAAGCTAACATTCTGATGAGGAGTTAGTAGATATCCTCAAGTATTCATATTCATTTTAAAATACATAATTCTTTTTCTCAGTTGTGAATTCTGAGTCATCTTTTGCAAGTATTTTGTGCTCTCTTTAATCCTGTTTTTCCCTCAAATAGATATTTTCATTAATAACCATTTCTTTTCTCTCTGTATCTCCTATCAGTTTTATAAGCTGCTTTTAAATCTTTCTCCAAAATAAGGTGACTGGCATATTATTCTTACCATTTTATAGACAAGGAATATAAGATCCTGGAAGTGAAAGGGATCAGATTTAGTTTATAAGGAAAATAAAATTCAGAAGTCCTATATTTGGAATATGTGCAGAAAGCCATTAGGCTACCCTTTCTCTTGTCTCTTTCCTAAAAGAGTAGGCTGCATTGCTTGTTTATAAAATAGGCTTTCAAACATGTTTTCATGAATGGATTTATGTATAGATGAATAGATTCTGTATAGCTTTAAAGGACTAATGATGATTGATAGGATTGACGTTTTTAACTCACCGTACGAAAATGATACTTCTCAGAAATGGAATGTGGGAATTGGTTGTCTTTGTAAAGAATACAAAAGGAGTCTGGAATGCTGATAACACCAAGGATGTTATAGATTGGGATTTCTCTACTAGGTCTGGTGATTAGTTATTAATAGAAATACCTAATTAAAGGCAGGAGGCCAGGGTTAAAGAGAGGAGGAATGAGTTGCAAAAGTAGATTGAAAATCACAATCAAGAAACAAAAAGGAGATATTTTTAAATGGATGTCAGCACTAAAAATTATTTATTGATTCCTGACAATTGCATTAGATAACTTCTGTGATCCAGTGGCGTGATGATTCTGCTTTATGGCCTGACTATTCTATTCTTAGAGGGCCTAAGTGTTGTTTTGTTAAGGCACCAGGTAAATTTAAAAAATATATGGAAATTACTTAGGCATACAAGGAAATGGATCTGACTTCTTTTTCTGGTCATGGTAGAATAAAATGGATCAGGTTTACCCTTTCAGCTTAACTAGAAAACTAAAGAAAACATGAAACAACAATTTTCAGACAGTGGATAACAGAGATCCCTGACAGAAGGAAAATGAAAGGGATGAGCTGATGATTTCCCACCTCACTAGGGTGATATGTTGAGGGTAGAGAGCTGGTAGAACATGGCAGTGACTGCCAGTCTTGCTCAGTGGAGGAGATATGGTCCAGAGTTCAGAGAGGTGGAAGTGGCTAAGATTTGTGAGGTAAAATACTGAAGGGAAGGTTGCTGCACAAAGGGAAAGCTCCAGAGATGTGTAGAGACTCCCTCAAATCTTTGATTGAGCACCAATCTGTACATAGATAGGAAGAAACTACCAGAGGCTGGAGAAAGAACCACCAGAAAGAAGGAATCAGAACAAAGCTCAGAGCTAGCGCAGGTGCTTACAATAGTTCCTATTCCAACCAGTTAGAGTAGAAAAATCATGTGGTATTGAAGAGAGGCCTCAAAAGGATATTACCTCAGGAGTGGGGCCAAACTGGCCCTAGAATAAAGGCCACTCTGGACCTGTGATAGCAAAGTTAAATACAAATCTTGAAAGCTTGAAACTGACTCAAGTGATTTAACTATATCACAGAACAAAAGCCCAATGATATTTAAAGGAATACAAACATAATTCTAATAACAAAACCCAATAACATGAAATCACAGTGTCCAGCATCTATTCAAATATTACCAGGCGTGCAAGGTGAAAGGAAAATGCAACTTATTACAAGGGAAAAAACAAATACCCAGAAATGACAAAAATGACAGAACTAGCATACATTGGCAGGCTATTAAAACAGATATTATAAACACATCCCATATGTTCAGGAATTTAGAGGAAAATTGACATGATGATAAGAAAAATGAAAGATGTAAAAATGGAAGATGTCCAAATCGAACTTCTAAGGGATTTTCAACACAGTTTCTGAAATGAAAAATACATGAGGTAGGATTAACAGTACATTGGCACTAGAGAAGAAAAAAACTAGTGAACTAGAAGATACAGCAATAGGAACCATCCAAATGAAACAGAAAAAAGGTTGAAGAAAGGTGAGTATATGTAAGCTGTGGGTCAATATCAAGCATTCTGAGCATGTAATTAGAGTCTCAGAAGGAAAAGTGAAGTGTAAGTGGTATCAGAAAAAAACGTTTGAAGAAATAATGGTAGATTTTCCGAATTTGGAAACTTAGACTGACAGATCCAAGAAATTCAGCATACCCCAAGTAGAAGAGACACCACACTAAAAAGTATAATAATCAAGTTGCTGAAAATCAGTGATAAAAAGAAAAATAATAAAAGCAACCAGAGGAAAAGAGACACATTATGTCCTAGAGGAATACAAGACAGAAATACATGTAGGCTAGAAGACAGTGTAGCTACATTTTTAAGGTACTGAAGGGAGGAAAAAAAAAAAAAAACCTTGTCAACTTATATTCTATATGCAGCAAATGTATCTTTCAAAAAATACTTTTTTTTCAGACAAACAAATGCTGAGAGAATGCACCACCAGCAGATCTGTATTATAAGAAATATTAAAGGATATT